GTAGAGTTAGACTTGTGTCCTTTGGCAAGGGGGTCGACCTTGTTTTCCAGACAGCTGGTTAGTTACTCATATGAACACACAGCAATGGTGACAGCATGGACAAGTCCCACGTAAACTCAAGCCAGACATAATCCCAGCATAGACATGGGGAAGTGAGGAAAAAAAACCCCAACTTTACCTGAAGAACTACTGGCAAGTGAGGGCTACTGGGAGGGGAGATTCAGCAGCTGATTTGTTTCAAGGAAAACCCAGAACATCATCCCTGGGTCCTGGAAGCAAGCATGCAGGAGAAACAGATGTGCTTTCCAGACCTAAAAATATAGAATCTGAATAGAATCTGTTGCTCTCAAAGCAAGAAACTGTTAACAGAGGGAAAGGCTCAGCCCATTCACAGCCATAGCCACTATGTTTATTTTCATTCTGGCCAAGGTACCAGCAAGACTGGAGAGCAGACTGTGTGCTGCATGCGGTTAAAATACAATCCTTCTATGGTGTGTTCATCTTTTCTTTTTCACTTTTCTAGCAGTCTTAACGTGTGTGTGTGTGTGTGTGTGTGTGTGTATGTGTGTGTGTAAACTAATTTGAGTATTGGCAAATAGTAGATTTTTTTTATTACTACTTATTTCTAACAATAGCAAAGTCTGATTTAAAGTAGAAACTGACCTTATGCAGGTAATTTACTTTGCTATGTCTCCAAATCTTCCTGTATATTAGCATGTAAACTGAGACCATAGGTTGTGCTGAGATGGATTAAGCACTCCACAGTAGGCAGGATAACTCCCATGCACACATCTGTGCCCTAGAACCCCTTGAACCAGTCAATAGATTAAGTTACATGGTGAGAAGAAATTTATATTTGGGGACTCAAGCCACCATTTCAGGCTTTGAAGATGGAGAAAAGAGCAAGTCAAGAAAGTCAAGTGACCCGTTGTTGTAACTACAAAAAACACCAAGGTTGATTCTCCCCAAGACCTCTAAAAGGAAACCACCTAGCCAATGTTGATTTTTAACCAGTGAGACCTGTCAGACTTCATCCTATAGAACTCTAACATAATAAATCTGTACAGCAATAGGATATTAACACAAACTCCTATTAAGGTTCTAGGAACAGTCTGGAGTATGGGAATCATGTGGACTGGAAATTAAAAATTTTTTTTTGGTATAGGAAAAGTTCACAGCTGAGTCTGTAAAAATTTCTTAATGGGAACTATCTCAGCCCTTAAAACTTTTTCTAGGATTTTATGTTTATGAGTGTTTTGTCTTGCACGTATGTGTGTGCAGTGCCCATGGAGACCAGAAAAAGTTGTTGGAGCCCCTAGAACTGGAATTGAGGATGGTTGTTAGCCACTAGGTAGGTGCTGGGAACTGAATCTGGGTCCTCTGCAAGAGTAACAAGTGCTCCCAATTGCTGAACCATCTCTCCAGGCTCCCCCCCCCATTCTTTTTTATTTTTTAAGTTTTGAAACAGTCTATGTAGCCCTGGATGACCTGGAACTGGTTATGTAGACCTGGAACTCACAGAGATCGACCTACTTCTGCCTCTTGACTACTTGGAATAAAGGTGTGTAGCCACCACACCTAGCCAAGATCATTCAAGGGGTTGACAGTACTTCAGTAAATGAGGATCCCTTCTGCAGGACAAGGAATGAGATCAAGCTGGAAGTATTCACAATACAGCACTTACACTGTGCTAGGGATGTGGCTGGGGTCCTCACCCTGTGTTTCTTTGACACTCAAGTCTTTTTTGAATAAATATTTTATTTTTATGTTATATATATGAGTTTATTGCCTGCACGAATGTAAGTGTACCCGTGTTGTGCAATGCCCACAGAGGTCAGAAGAAGATGTCAAATTCCCCTGGAACTGGAGTTACAGATGGTTGTTAGTCACCATGTGAGTGCTGGGAACCAAATCTGGGTCCTCTGCAAGAGCAGCCAATGCTCTTAACCACTGAGCCACCTCTCCAGCTGCCATACTCAAATCTTTTGAAGAAGAGGTTTAATGTCACTAGACTTTTCTTAAAAAATCCAGGGGAATCACAAAGAAAAAAAATTCCCCAAGTATTATCTTAACTGTCTTATCACCAAGCTATCACATAGTGCATTGTTTCAGTATATTGTCTCACATCTAATATGGAGTTTCTGAGTCTCATACATCAACTTTGAAGAATTAGATACAGAAAAGCTGAAGTCAACCTCGAAAGAGTTAAAACAAGGTCTGTGAGAAAAGTGAAGATTGAGAACTACTGGTGTGATTATTATTAACATATGCTAGAAACCAAATATTTTATTTATTTTTGTTGTGCTAGAGATAGAACATGGAGTCTCTGGCATGCTAGGCAAGCTCTACCATTGAGCTATGAAACCTACCCACCAAGAACTTAGAAACAAATGAGTTCTCACAAAGGAATAAAGTACTGCATAACATAAATAGTACAGAATGTCAAATGTACAAATAGACTTTCCCTGTCCACTTAAGAGATCCTTGAGGCTGGAGAGATGGCTCAGTGTTAAGAACACTGGCGTTCTTGCAGAAGGCCTAGGTTTGAATCCCAGCACCCATATGGCAGCTAACAACTGTCTGTAACTCTAGTTCCAGGGGATCCAACAGCCTCTTCTGTCCTCTGCGGGCATTGCACGGCACAGGTGCACTTACCTACATGCAGACAATATACGTATACACATAAAATAAAGTAAAAAAATATTTTAAAAAAGAGATCCTTGAAATAACCCTCTGTGAAAGACCTAAGACATTACAGAAAAGATTTTTGTCATCTTCATAGACACAGAGGATTAACTGACTGAGACTTGTCTAATCAAAATCTCTATCCTTTTTTCCAAAATTGGGTTACATGTCTGTAGCAAGAGAAGACATATCTGCCAGCCTCCTGTGAAAAAGTCCATACTTTGTAAATGTCTTAATTTTCCACATTTTCTAAAAGCAATCTAAGAAATCTGCCCAACCATGTTCCTAGTAAAAGAAAATTGTGCTTTGCTATAGCCATGATTCTAGACCTGTCTAGACAGAAGTAATGAGAGTAGTCATAGCTGCTTGATTAGTGTTGTGAGCACCCAATGTCATCGTCTGGACACAATACCAACTCTGACACCTACGATGATTATTTAAGATTATTGAATTCTAGGCCAAGCATGGTGGTGCACACCTTTAATCTCAGCACTTGGAAGGCAGAGGCAGGTGGATCTCTGTGAGTTTGAGGCCAGCCTGGTCTACATAGTGAGTTCCAGGCCAGCTGGGGCTACAGGGAGACCTTGCCTCAAAAAAAAAAAAAAATAAATTCTTTGGTAGAAGACCAAAATATGTGAGTGGAAAAACAAATTAGGCAGTTATGTCATCGGCCCACTATAGAAATTCAGTAAGGCACACAAGTGTGGATACAGCTAAACTGGAGAGTCCAAGACATACCTAATATGCATAAGGTATTAAAGAGATGAGGCCGCTAATATTCATCGAGCATATGTATATTCCTAGCATTACATGTAACACTTATCTCTGACAAGTCTTAATTCTGCCTCTCAGGGGTGACACACATACTGGTCCAACATGTCCTGCTTAATATTTCAAAACCTGCATCTGTTCACCAGACTCTTGGAAGCTACAGCTCTGGCCAGGCATTCTTGCTATCTCCCTGCCTGAGTCACAATACAGAACCTTGAGCAAGGGGTTCAGGCTTCCTATATATTGTGACACACGACAGGAACCCAATACGTGTAAGACTACGTGGAAACCTCCGATTTCTCCCAAACATTTAACATTCAAGAATTAATTTTTGAAAATGTGTGTTGGTGGACAACCATGTGTTTTAAGAGACTACCCAACCGTAGATCTCCTGAAAGCTCTGGTTCCTGGATACTTCACAGTTACGAACTGGAAGGCTACGGCACACACACAAGATGCTGAGATGTGCCCTAGCAAGTGTCACAACCATTGCTGAAGTACGTGAGTTATCAGCGTTAACAATTAACAGCGATACCCTTGGAAGCACAACAAGCTGCCATCTTTTACAAATGGAGCGATGTTTACCGGAGTTGAAGAACAGCTATAGTAGCACCAGGGAATTCCCGAAACAGGGAAAGACCATTCTGTCCCAGAGCATAAGTCATTACGCACTCGTATCACTTCTAGAGTTACATATCCCATTGAGTCAACCGGACCTGGACCGCTTGCCAGAGGCACCAAACCACTATGACTGCATAACGAATGGATCAAACACTCAGCTCACCTTTAGGCGCAGAAGTGAGTTTAGCACTTAACGGGAGTGATTTACCATCTCATCTAGCAATTGTAGAGAAGATACCCTCTCGACAAGAATTGTACCCTTCAGAATACTAAGTTCTTTACATTATTCGTTACAATAAAAAAATGCGTGATGGCTAAATTTGGATTTATCAAGATCCTTTTTCTTTGGTATTTTTGTTAGGCATATAACCTCCAGAGTTGTGTAAAGACGGGTGACATCGTCGCACGCTGCCCTCAACCACCGGCCCGCCAGCACTGGGTGCGCGCAGATAAGGGGTCGCGGGGTCGCGTGTCCACCGCGTTTCAGGAGAAAGCCCTTGCTGGGCGCCTCTTCGGCTCCCCCCCCCCCCCCCCCCCCCCCCGCGATCGTGGCCGAGCCGAGAGTAGCCGAAAGCAGCCGAGTGGAACCCGAGCTTCGTGATGACGCCGGGGCAGTGCGCCCGGCCCTTCCGAAAACGCCTTCTCTGCCGCGGCGGTGGGCTGTCCTTTCGCAGAGTCTCAGGCGTGACAAACACGAAGACTTGAGTGACGTGAGCGGGTCGCCGAGACACCAGGTCGCTCCCTGGTGCGGCCCTCGTACGCCCCACGGCCTGTACAGCCCGCCTCTCAGTGGCTCCGCCCAGGCCCCGCCTTCCCCTGCTTCGACCCCGCCCCCGTTCCACTCCGACCAATAGGCGCCGACGTGCCTCGGAGAGTGGCGGAGGGAAGTGCTGAGGCGGCGGGACGCTGAGCCGTTCACGACAACGCGGTGACGTCACGCGCCGGCGCGGGCGACGTACCTGTCGGGCTCCGGACTTCTGCAGCTTCTCTTCCAGTTCTGCGGGTTAGGGTCAGTCGGGTCCGGAACTCACAGTCGCTTTCTCAGTCCTCGGCTGCTCGAGGTCCGCGGCGGGCTGGAGGATGAGGCGGGAAGGGGCGGAGACTTGAGAGCCGTCCTACTTTCCTGCCGAGTTGCAGCAAGGGTTTAGGGCTAGTCTAGAGAGGGAAGTGTGGTTGGAGGCTTTTATTTTCAGTTCGGGGCAGGTGGACTCCAGGGCCCTGCGCAGCCCGGGGGTTGATGCTGCTCGTGTGTTGGAAGGAGGACCCACGAAAACAAACCTCCCCAAAGTACCACCTGGCCACATTTACGTAACCCATCCACTAGACAGCCCAGGGTACCCGGAGTCTGTCCCGCCCTGTCGGGGTGAAGCTCCCAGGGCGCCTGGCTTTTAGATCTCAAACAGATGCAGAGTCCACAGGCAGCGGAGGAAGCAGCCACCGACTTTGCTATGCCTCTAAGCTGTGAGGTGAGTGGCGTCGCACCCGCGAAGGTTCGGTAGCTGTCAGGTTCCCGGATTTGGGGTCGAGCGCGAGGCCAGGGCTCTGGTGTTGCGTTCTCTCGCCCCAGATGCACCTAGGTGGTGATCAGCCCATCCTGGTGATGGGTTTGTCCTTGTAGGTTCTTAAAAAATCTCCCCTTCAGGAACCGTCGCCGGAGCTACGAGTAGAATGGAAGTGTAGGTATCAGAACAAGATTGTGAACTTCCAGAGTGGGGTTTGATATTTCGCTAAGTTTACCCAAATTAAAGAATCATAGTTTTCCTATCTTTAGATTTATGTATCAGACCATTTTTTTTGTGTGTGTAAATATTTGTGTTTTCATAGTAAACTTGTTGGACCAGAAGTTACTTTAGAACCTCAGAAATGAACTTTTCATGCAGTGTGCTTTATTTGTATTACATTTTTAAATTTTGTGTGTATGAGTGTTATGTCTGCATGTAGGTTAAGTGCACCCCTGTCCTGCAGTGCCCGCGGAGGACAAAAGAGGCTGTTGGATCCCCTGGAACTGGAGTAGTTGTTAGCTGCCATGTGGGTGCTGGGATTCGAACCCAGGTCTTCTCCAAGAACAGTATTCTTAACCACTGAGCCATCTCTCCAGCCCCGTATTACATTTTAAAATTAGAGCACATGGAGGGCATTTGCATGTTTATCAGGCACATTCTTATTCTAGTCCGGGGTTTCTATTTCTTTTGCAAACAATTACTGTTTGACCAATAGTGACCTGACAGTTGGACCAATAGTCACTGTGCCTTTTCATATATATGTGTATATGAATTTAAAAGGTCAGTTCTGCAAACTTTTTGATCCATTCCATTCAATTCCTGCTCCACTACCGTGGCTTATATAATTGGCTGTAGAAACACTTTTGCCCTTAAAGAATTTAGGTGATTTTTTTTTAAGTCAAAGACATTTTTTGATTTGCTTTTATTTTATTTATATGTATGTAAGCACACTGTGCATGACATACCCAGGGAGGCCACAAAAGGTGCTTGGATCCCTTGGAACTGGAGTTAGGGTTGGTTAGTGTCTCTGTGAATGCTGAGCAGCCAGTGCTCTTAACCTCTGAACTATCTTTCCAGCCCCGGAAGAAACGATTTTTTTTTTTTTGGAGACAGAGTCTCTCTGTATATCCCTGGCTGGCCTGGAACTTGCTATGTAGACCCAGCTGGCTTCCACTCCACAGAGATCCACCCGCCTATGCCTCCCAGGTGCTGGGATTAAAGCTGTGTACCACACCACCGTTACTGGCTGTTGGAGTATTTTAAAAAGTGCTGCTATTGCTAATTTCTTTTTACTATGCTGTATGACTTTAAAATCAAGTGCACGACTTACAGATATTGCCTCAGATTGAATAAGCTTATATATGTTTATGTGCTAATCCCTTGCCTTCCTCACAGACTTTGATTCTTTGAGTGACAGTCAAGATTATTTTAAGAGGGCAGTCAATGTGAATGGTACTTCATGTTTACTTGGAAATAATGCTTTAGCATGTGCTGTCATATGTACCTCACAAAGCCTTTAAAGAAGTAACCTGGTTTTAGATACATACAGTGCAGAAGAACAGATTTGTTAAGGTTATCTGTTTCTATTAGAAAACTGGCAGTTGTCCAGGTCATGCTAGTGATAGGCTTTCTGTTTTCTGTTGTGACATGTTGGTAATAATTTTCAGACCTCTCAGGAAGCCAGATTTGATCTCTGTGGTGAGTCATATATCAAAGCAGTATCCTGTGGGCTTTGACCACTATCCCTGCTTTGTAGAACTTTGTAATCAGAATTGTTAAGAGGCATGTTATGTGCTAATAGAATACAGTCTGTGGTTTACCCTCTTTGTGTGTCTGTATGATGCCATTTTTCACACTAATCCGTGAAGTAGGTACTTTCACCCTGTCCATTTTACAGGTGTGGAAACTGAGAATTTAATTGTTGTGCCCAAGGTCCTACTGCACTGTCAGAACTGAGGTTGAAGCTCAGTGGTGTCACTACAGAGCTTTTGTCCTCAGTGGCTGCACTGTATTGTGGGCTCTGCTAGGTGACACTCTAGAGAAAAAGGAATGAGAGTAGTGCATGGTTACAGAAACTCATAAAAACTGTGCTAGCTGGGCATTGTGGCCCACGCCTTTAACCTAGTACTTGGGAGACAGAGGCAGGTGAATTTCTGTAAAATGGAGGTCAGCCTGGTCTCCATGGTGAGTTTGAGGCCACCTGGAGCTACAGGGAGACCCTGGCTCACCCCCCCCCAAAAAAAGTGTTTTAAAAAGAAAAGCACTCAAAGCACTACCACTTTAATGAACGTCTTTATATGCACATTCATATTTGTTTAAAAGCATCACAGCTATGGTTCCTTTTGATTTTTAAAGTTAAATGTTCTTTAAGTACAAAGTGAAGACTACCCCCTTCCCCCAGCTTACATTGCTGAAACAGATTTTTCTTTTTTTCCCCTTTGGTCTTTCTTGAGACAGGGTCTCAAGACCTGTTCCAGTTGGCCTGGAACTCACTTTGTAGACCAGGCTGACCTTGAACTCACACAGATTCTCCTGCCTCTGCCTCCTGAGTGCTGGGATTAAAGGTGTGCACCACCAGGACCCGCTGAAACAGATCTGATCTGCAACTGTGAATGGAGCCAAGTAAAAATATTTCTCACCTTTCTTACAGAAAGTAGTTGAATAGTTTGTCTTTTAAAGTCATGAAAGCTATTTATTTTTAAAGTCTCAATCTTCCATAACATCTCTTTTATTGTTTTAACTTTTTTTCCTCCTTCCTATTAATGAGCCTTATGTTTGTGTTTCTTTGCCTTTGTCCTTTTAAAGTCATCTAGTGTTTAATTTCCCCTTTCCTGACACTTTTTGTTTTAATTGGCAAATAGTAGTTTCATGTATATTTATGAGTTACAATGTAATGCTTTGATAAATGTATACATTGTAGAAACATTAAAAGTATCAACTTCTCTTGTGTGTGCGCGCGTGTGTGTGTGTGTGTGTGTGTGTGTGTGTGTGTGTGTGTGTGCAGCGAAAGCACTTGTAGATGTGAAGTGAAAACGTAGCAGTTTTAAGGCGTGCCATTTACTGTTCTTAGTTATGGTCACTGTGTTATAAGGTAGATCCTTAACTTCCTGTGTAGCTGAAACTTTCAACCATTTGACTGACCAACCATAATTTCTACTCTCTGCTTTTAAGTTGGACTCTTTTTTTTTTCGGTCTTTTTGAGACAGGGTCTGCCTGCCTGTAGCCCCAGCTGACCTGGAACTCATTGTGTAGACCAAGCTAGCCTTGAACTCAGAGAGATCCTCCTGCCTCTGCCTCCCGAGTGCTGGGACCAAAGGTGTGTGCCACCATGCCCTGCTAAATTGGACTCTTTTAGATTCCACACATAAGTGAAATGCAGTGATTTTTCTGTACCTGTTTTGTATAACCGTTGATACACACTTAGGTTGTTATCATATTTTGGCTCTCGTAAATAATAGTACTTAAAAGATTCTGTAAGCTTAAGAATTTTCTTTAAGGAGCTAATTAACAGGTTAGTCATCTCTCTTAAGAAAAATGCTATAAGGTGTGATTTCAACATGCTAAATGAACAGTAAGGATAAAATATCCACTAGTGTTCCTTTTAGGAGAAACATTTGATTCTTGCTCAGAATGCAATAAATTCTGTTTCAGTAACCCTGTGGATCTAATTAACACCCCCTACCCCCATTCTTGCCCTTTTGTCCTCATCCTTTAGAACAAGAATATGTGCTTTTTGGTGATATTTTGCACAACTCATGGAAGTAGGTGGACTTAAATCATTTACTTACAGGTATCTTATATAGAATAAAGTTTTTGCATTTTGTTATCAAATGAGAGAATATTTATAATTTTACTTATTTTTCTGATAGAAATCAATGACCCTGATATATAATGAATTCTTAAAAACATTGTTTTTAATTTTATTTATTATTTTTATTTTATGTGTATGCATGTATTACCTGCATGTAGGTAAGTGCACCTGTGTTGTGCAATGCCTGCAGAGGTCTGAAGAGGCTGTTGGATCCCGTGGCACTGGAGCTATGGACATTTGTTAGCTGCCATGTGGGTGCTGGGATTCGAACCTGGGTCTTCTGCAAGAACAACCAGTGTTCTTAACTGCTGAGCCATCTCTCCAGTCCCTTATTTATTATTTTTATTTTATGTGTATGTGTGTATTGCCTGCATGTAGGTAAGTGCACCCATGTTGTGCAGTGCCCACGGAGTACAGAAGAGGCTGTCAGATCCCCGGAACTGGATTTACAGACAGTTGTTAGCTGCCATGTGAGTGCTGGGATTTGAGTCCTGGTCTTCTGCAAGAACAACCTGTGTTCTTAACTGCTGAGCCATCCCTCCAGCCCCTACAATGAATTCTTTAGTTGTGTGCCTACAATAAATGCATATACTTGAAAGAAGAAAAATACCTATCAAAACCTTTTTAAGGGCATGGAGAGATGACTCAGTGGTTAAGAGCACTGGCTGCTCTTGCAGAGGACCCAGGTTCAATTCCCAGCACCCACAGGATGGCTAACAACCATCTGTAACTCCAGTTACTGTAACTCCAGGGGATCAGATGCCACCTTCTGTCCTCCCAGGACATTGTATGACACAGGTGCAGTTGCACACATGCAGACAATATACACATTAAAAAAACAAAGAAACAAAACCCTTTTTAAGATCAGATCAGTGTAGTAAGCATTACTTAGATTAATTTTACTTTGGGTATGTTGAGGATTCATTTTAAGTTGAGCCCTGCCCAGTGATGATAGTAGTAACAGACTACATATAATTCCTGTTGTATACTAATGATTTTCATGGTCTGCCTTTCTGAATTTTTAGATCTGAATTTTCCTCAGACTGCACATATATATATCCTTTAAAAAAAAGCCCATTTTTTTTTTCTTTTTTCTGTTACTGGGATGGAGAGATGACTCAGTGGTTAAGAGCACTGATTACTCTTGCAGAGG